GGAGAAATCATACTAAATACTACATTGATTTTAACATGTAATATAATATAACTTTATTGTAGTAGCAATATACAGAATCCACATAAAAACATAAATCTAGTTATACATTGGAATTTACTAAAATAATTATGCATCACAACAATTTTAATAATATATTCTAATCACCCTAAGCATTTTTTATAAAAATCAAAAATTCAAGAGTAAGTTCAATAACTAAAAACAAATTGATATTATTTAATAAATTTTATACCTTCATTTTTTTCATTAAAGAATCCATTTTTTCAGGATCCAAAGTTACACCCACAATTGTTTCTTCAAGCATAAAATGGCACACAGCAATTGAAAATAGCTGATCATTATCTGTTGCCACTTGATCTTTTGTAAATGATGCTGTAATACAATCAATGTATTTTGTTGGACTTGCAGCAGATATCCTAGAATTCAGATGATGTAGACACCATTTTGCATTATCCGACTTCTTGAATTCACTTATGATATTAGGATCAGTCTTTGAATTGAGTTTGGGAATCTTGTTCAGAAAACAATCAAATAGAACAGTTTTGATTTTCTTAACTTGATCACCCCTATATTTTGACATTTTTTCTTTTAGCTAAAGAATATATTATATTAATAAGTTGTTGTTATTATAATATTAAACTTATTAAACCAAAATACTTAATTGCATACTGTTGAACTAATAGCAGAACAAAAAAATGCATCCCATTGACCAGATTTTATCATTAGTTGCATGCATTCTGGTTGTCTTTGAGTCAATACTTGATGTGCAGTTTCACAAAATGCTTCTTCTGATGGGTATTTATTTTCTGGAAACAAATCAGCAATCATGTATTTCCAATATGGCTATTTAAATAAAATTATTTAACAATATAATTAGTAACCAACAAATCAAATATTAATAATACTTACCTCAATCCAGTCAATATCATTTTTATGATTTCCAGAACCTTTAAATGATTTTCCAGCATCAAGTTTTTGAATTTCTTCTCTTTGTTTTTTTACAAGATTTTCTAAAAAGTCAATTTTTTGTTTTAAATTCTTTATATCTTTTTGTGTTTCTTGACATATTTCTAATATTTTTACTAAAATTGGAGTTGTTTCTATGAAATGTAATTGATTTATAATAATTAATAATAATAATAATAATAATAATAATAATAAATGCAATTTATTATCAAAATTTGCTATATTATATTATTAACACATTACCTTCATCTTGTGAAAAAGTTTCCTGACTTAATAAAGCTTCATAAGAAGATTCATGTTGATTTTCTGATAAGTTTTCAGATTCTTGATCTGAATTAGAATAAAAATTATTTTCATTAGCCAGCTTTTGACTTTCAAGGAATTGAAAATAATTGTTTTTCTTGTTTTCTAAGTCTGAAATAGTAAAATTTTCATTCTCTTCTTGGATAGCATCCTGTATTGAGGTTTCCCTAATAGTTTGATTTTCATTAATGTTATTTAATTGAATTGGTGGTGATGTGATAGATTCAGGAAATATGTTTGGTAAACCCAATTTTTTTTGAGATGACTCATTTGA